CCCCAAAACCCCAAAACCCCAAGAATTAAATAATTGATAATTTTAGGTGAAGTGTTTAAATAAAAATATAAATGAAGAAATTAAAAAACCATGTCTTTTATAAATGATTGATATGATCATATAAATGATTTCATTTTAGTTCATAATAGATGTTCAGGAGTTAGTCTTCCATTATTAATCTGTGATATCATTGATAATCTTTTTTCTTTCTATTTTCCTTGCCATTCTTAATAAAGATTGGGTTTGAAAAAGTAATCTGCTTCTTTTCTTTTTTAAGTCATATACAACTTTACCTGATTTTAAGCTGCACTAGTTGCTTTTTAGGCACTCAGGTAGTGTGTTTTTTTAGGTAAGTTTTCCCCAATGCGAGCATTTTCCTCCAATTTATCATATTCAGTTTGATCTAATTTGCAAAGTTATTTAGTCCTCTCAATGATGTCTTTTGGATCATAACCATAAATAGGATTATAGAACCTTACTCTAGATGTTTAAATCTCAGGCCAGTTTTTCATATCTACTTGAGACTAGGATTTTCTCATTTTTTTCTTGGGTGAAATCTGCTCATTGGTTAGTGGATTATGGACAATTTTCCTCTTTTTTTAAAGTTTGATTGGCAGTATTAATTTCGGTAGTTCCTATTTTTTATGTAAAATATTGTTTGGATACCGTAGATGATTGTTTATGATTTTTTAATCCCACTATATTGTTTTGGTGCCTCTCAATCTTTCTGTATTCATAATCTACTTTATACTCAATAATTCACTATTTCTGAGAAGTTTGAATTTATCTTTGCTAGATTAGAAACTTTCATTTAATTCTGCTCTGTTATCTTTCAGAGATTGATAACAAAATTTACTCTAAATATCTCTCATTGAGTCAGCATTTAATTTTATTTTCCTTATCTAAGTCACATCATTAACTTGGGGTATCATAATATCTATATATTTCATCTCCATCTCTTTCATTTAAGGTTGCTTATCCTATATTTTTCAATGGCTTAAAATCTTATCCTTATCTCGATTTATTTTTGGTAAGGATCTTGTCGTTCTAATTTTATTCACCCTTTTAGATGGCATTTGAATATCAATCAGATCCAAGTTGAGATTGAACTTAAAAGCACCTCTCATCGGACTATTCACTACACTAACTGATTCATATCTAGAATTATTGGTATAGGATCTATTACTTAGAGCAGATAATGAGGGCTGGCATTAGGCTTCTACCATTAATTTATATTTTGATTTAATTCCAATACTTCACTGTTAATCCCTATCTATCAATTGATTCATGGGGTTTTGGGGTTTTGGGGTTTTGGGG